CCCACCAATTCACTATCTCAACAAATTAGAATATGGTGCAAAGACAAAAAATATACACTATATACACTGAACAAAATTATAAAAGTAACACTTTTGTTTTTGCCCCCATTTTTCATGAGCTGAACTCAAAGATCTAAGACTTTTTCTATGTACACAAAAGGCCTATTTCTCTCAAATATTGTTCACAAATCTGTCTAAATCTGTGTTAGTGAGCACTTCTCCTTTGCCGAGATAATCCATCCACCTCACAGGTGTGGCATATCAAGATGCTGATTAGACAGCATGATTATTGCACAGGTGTGCCTTAGGCTGGCCACAATAAAAGGCCACTCTAAAATGTGCAGTTTTACTGTATTGGGGGGTCCGAAAACCAGTCAGTATCTGGTGTGACCACCATATATATATATGTGTATGTGTCTGTGTGTATATATATATACAAACATAAATTTTTTTAACTGCTGTATTTTGTATTCTGTGGCATTTTGCAAGTTTTTTTAATTAATTGTTGACATAACTTAGAAAGGCATTGTCGTGGTGTATATTCTTTCATATTTTGGTCCAGATTCTGTGTTGTCCTTGTTTACCAAGAAGAAGGGGAATTCTCTTTAGTTGGCCAAAATGATAAGTTGTTGCTTTGTAAAGCGTAATAGTGAATCCAGAGCTTGTGAAATGTTGCAAAAGATTGTTTCACTAAAGGCCTAAAGTGATTTTTTTTTAAAGGTTCTGTGGCGGGACACTTGTAAGATTATTAACTAAAGTTTGTGTTATTAACTAAAAAAAAAAAAGTCAAAGAATGGAAAACCATCATGTGAAACGTATATTCTACTTGTATTTTAACTGACTTAAAAAATTTGAAGATTAAAAATTTAGAGATTTTATAAATTAATTTTATTTGTTAACTTTTTCAACATTTGCTGCCCGTATTGTTGACATTTTTTGTGGTGTTGTTGATGTTTTGGTGCAAATTCATCTGTCATTTAATATGGCAATACTAATGCAATAGTTAATAAATTTGAGATTGGCTTCAATACTTCTACCTTTTATCATGCAAGACATCGGCTTCATCAAAATAGCTTTAGTTTGAAAGTGCACAACTTCCTAGAAGAAAGGACTTTGCTTTTGTATAAATTTGTAGTTGCAGATTTGCATTTCTAAATGAGACACAAACACAAAAGAAGCAGGTAATAGTCGTTCTCTTTTAACAAGCTCTCTTTGCAGCAGTCCTTGAAAGATAGGATAGTCAGTAATAATGTATGATGCAGTATAATGAAAAAGAGATTTCTTTTAAAAATGTATTCGAAAACATGTTGCTATCTACCTATCTACCTATCTACCTATCTATCTATCTATCTATCTATCTATCTATCTATCTATCTGTTTTTACACATTACTATGCAAATATGAAATAAACATTTTTATACATTATTATGCAAATATGAAATACTTTTAATACAATTATCAAACAGTTTTTCAACGTTATCACCCCATGTCTTTTATTGTTGACATTGAAGGTTGTGCACCCAATCAAACTGTTGTTTTGGTGCAAATGCTTCTCTCATTTAAAATAGCTAATGTTAATACTAATTCAGTAGTTAACAAATCTGAGATTGGCTTGAATACTTCTGCCTTTTATCATGTATCAAACTAGTCTGTATCTGGTGTGACCACCATTTGCTCACGCAGTGCAACACATCTCCTTCGCATAGAGTTGATCAGGTTGTTGATTGTGGCCTTAAATACGGGGGTAATTAAAGAGATTTAATTTGAAAGTGTTCGACTTGCTATAGAAGAAGCTTCTCGGGTCTTTTGTATGAGTTTGCATTTTTAGTTGTTTCCTGTACTGGGCTACATAAAATGAACTTGCTTATAACCACAAGCCCCTCACCCTCACCCACACTCATCTCTAACCCAGACACAAACCCAGAATAAAAGGGTTTTGACATGCTCTTTTGCAGCAGTCAGTGAAAAGTACTGTAAAGATGTTCGAGATGATGAAAAGGAGAAATCTTTACAAAAGTTCTTAGATATTTGTTAAAAACATTTGTACTATTTATTTACCAGTTTTTTTTTTTACTTTAAGATAGCTTTTATAAATTAATGTAAATCTAGATTTAATTTGAAAGTGTTCGACTTGCTATAGAAGAAGCTTCTCGGGTCTTTTGTATGAGTTTGCATTTTTAGTTGTTTCCTGTACTGGGCTACATAAAATGAACTTGCTTATAACCACAAGCCCCTCACCCTCACCCACACTCATCTCTAACCCAGACACAAACCCAGAAAAAAAGGGTTTTGACATGCTCTTTTGCAGCAGTCAGTGAAAAGTACTGTAAAGATGTTCGAGATGATGAAAAGGAGAAATCTTTACAAAAGTTCTTAGATATTTGTTAAAAACATTTGTACTATTTATTTACCAGTTTTTTTTTTACTTTAAGATAGCTTTTATAAATTAATGTAAATCTTTTTTTTTTTTTTAATGTAAATCTTTTAAATCTTTTGTCCTTTATTGTTGACATCGAAGGTTGTGCACCCAATCAAACCTGGTTTTGGTGCATATTAATCTTTTCTTGATGAATAAAAGCAGCAATTCTATTAACATTTTACAATAACGTTCTATTAATTAAAGTTAGTTAATGCATTAACTGACTTAAACTAACAATGAGCATTACATTTGTTACAGTTTTTATTCATCTTGGTTAATTTGAATAAAATATGATCAGGCCATGCTAGCTCAGGTCCAGTTAAAAATTAAAATTACATTTTATAATATTAACATTATTGTTAAATAATATTACTGTTAATATTATTTAACAATAATGTTAATATTATAAAATGTAATTTTAATTTTTAACTTTAAACAGTGTATTAGAAAATGTTGAAATGAACATTAACTAAGATTAATAAAAACTTTAGAAGTATTTCATTGTTAGTTTAAGTTAATAGAATGTAGTTAACTACTGTTAACAAATGAAATCTTATTGTAAAGTGTCACCTCACAGTACATCGAGGTTACATTTTATAATATTAACATTATTGTTAAATAATATTACTGTTAATATTATTTAACAATAATGTTAATATTATAAAATGTAATTTTAATTTTTAACTTTAAACAGTGTATTAGAAAATGTTGAAATGAACATTAACTAAGATTAATAAAAACTTTAGAAGTATTTCATTGTTAGTTTAAGTTAATAGAATGTAGTTAACTACTGTTAACAAATGAAATCTTATTGTAAAGTGTCACCTCACAGTACATCGAGGTCCAAATGTAATACCACTGATGTAATACCAGTACATTTTGACCTTGTGGGACCTTTTTTTTTTAGGTTTTTAGGTTTAGGGTAAGCGCATAGAAAATACAATATCAGTATCATCAGTGCTGCGCTCATGTATTAGTTGTGTCATGAGCAGTGTTCTATTTTTATAATGTTGCTAATCTTAATATATTAAAAGTTTATTTTTTTCCTATGAAGTCTATTGAAGACGTGAATCATAAATAGTACTGCTAACTAACAGATGTTTTGTGTTTGGTGAGGTAATGTGAGTAAAGTACAGAAGCTGCGCGTCATGCAGTAATTTCAGTCTAATCATCACAAAAGCTGTTCACCCTTTTAATTCCTAGAAATAAAAAGTTTGGTTGCAAAACATTATTCTGATGAAGTTAATAACGTTTTATCTCACACTCAGACTCCTCCATTCCCATCAAGCATCAAACACACCTGCAGATACCACTGAAGGGAAAGCTGACTTAAAACTCACACTCCTGCATTACTATACTTACACACACACACACACACACTCATCTCTCACACTCTGAACTTCATCCACCACACATCTGACCATCCCATCATGCCGTGCACACGAACATAATATCACTGAACAAGAGGCAGTTATTGTTTGATTGATTGATTGCCCCAAGCAAGCACTTTTAGGCTACACCAGGCTTCGCGTTTAAGGTCTTGTAATCACACTCAGACTCCTCCATTCCCATCAAGCATCAAACACACCTGCAGATACCACTGAAGGGAAAGCTGACTTAAAACTCACACTCCTGCATTACTATACTTACACACACACACACACACTCATCTCTCACACTCTGAACTTCATCCACCACACATCTGACCATCCCATCATGCCGTGCACACGAACATAATATCACTGAACAAGAGGCAGTTATTGTTTGATTGATTGATTGCCCCAAGCAAGCACTTTTAGGCTACACCAGGCTTCGCGTTTAAGGTCTTGTAATAGAGTTAATAATGATAAACATCTGTTTTTGGTAATAAAAATAAATCCAGACTAAATAAGAATTCATTTAGTATTCATTCCTTTTTTTGTCTTCTGTTTACATTTTATTATATTTATGCGGTACCAAACTCGACTACAATGTGCCATTAGCAGTATGTATGAAATCTAATGTTACACCGCTGTCTCGATTTTTCCTTAATAATACATTTTGCGCATTGTAATCAAGGCACAGTCAGGTTACGTATGTTTCATATTGTTTTCGTTGTCGTGTAACTGGTGTTCTTCGTTTTGTTTTGTGTTTTGTTTTTCAATTGTTGTTCTAAACATGCGTCATTGATTACGACATTCGCCATTACATTAGAATAATTTTACAATACTTAGCATGTTTCAGCAGTTTCTAGTCATCGACCTTGAAAAACGTTCAAACGTTTTTTTTTTATGTATTCTCAGCATCCCATTTCTAAATATGAATAATTTCTCACATCTACATTCTTCTCTGTAACAGTAGTTTTCAAGTAATGAAACACGTCAGAAAAGAGATCGCTAGATGCCAATAATCAAATTAATTTAGCCACATAATAATGCATAGCTGGGATAGAAAAGTCTATAAAAAAGCAGAAGAGAACACTTTTTTTTTTGTTGAGCCTCAGCCTTAATCATAAAATTAAATGATCAAACAATGATTGCACAATGTAATTCTGATGAAGGTAATTAATATGGTTTTTATCTCACACTTTCCACAGTTGCAGGAAAAAGTGATGCAGGTAAGTGTTGCTCTGTTTCTGTTATGCTGTTCCTGATTAAACATATGGAACAGAAAGTATATACAGTATCAACTTGACATGCTTACATATGTTTCTTGCTGTCAATCCATCATTATAGGCAATCAGTCAAACTCCTCCACTCCCACCACTTCACCAAACACAAATATCACTGAAGGTAAAGCGGACATCAAACTCACACTCCTGCATTGTTATTCTTTCACACACAATCTCTCACACTCTGACCTCCAGCTTCCCATCATGCCGTGGTGCACACAAATGTCACTGAGTACATTCATCAATGATTGATGTATATGTGTGTTGTTTTCATATTAAAAATGTTTAGACAAGTTTCTATAATAAAATAAACAGATTTTGGAGGTTAACATAGTTGTATACAGTATATTTATATATACAGTGGGTACGGAAAGTATTCGGACCCCTTTAAATTTTTCACTCTTTGTTATATTGCAGCCATTTGCTAAAATCATTTAAGTTAATTTTTTTTCCTCATTAATGTACACACAGCACCCCATATTGACAGAAAAACACAGAATTGTTGACATTTATGCAGATTTATTAAAAAAGAAAAACTGAAATATCACATGGTCCTAAATATTCAGACCCTTTGCTAAAATTGTGTAATGCTTAATATGAATTACTAATTATTAGTAACTTGATAAGTTTAGATATTGTTTCATGGTGTCCATCCATCTTTACAGTCCCTCAGTCAAATCTCTCCACTCTCACCACTTCATCAACCACACCTGCAGACACCACCACCAAAGGTAAAGCTGACTTCAAACTCACACTCCTGCATTGTTATTCTTTCACACACAATCTCTCACATTCTGACCTTGGTCTTTTAAGTTTGTAGATTTAGCGCCTAATATGAACTTGCTTTTCCCTTCAGTTTCAGACTCCTCACACACACGTTCCTCTTCACTCTCACTCCCATACTCCACCTTGCAACAACAAAACACCAACACCACTGCAGGTAGCAGCATACATCGTATTTTATGTTTTCTTTTTGTGTGTTTATATATATATATATATATATATATACATATGTTTTCTAGTGCATGCAACTGAATTCGTTGCCCTATAGTACTATGTGGGGTCACCGTGTGATACTATATTTTATTATATCTAATAATAGTTATCATGTACTAAAGATAAAATCCAGATAATCTCACCCCCGTGCACCACACAACAAGAAAACATCAACACTACTGTAGGTAAAAGTGTATTTAACGTTACATTTCTTTTCTACATTTTTTTATATTTGACAAATTTATCAGTTTTCAGTCTCTATCATGTAAATAAATTAGCATACTGTTCAGCTTATGCAGTTTATGGTAGTAATAATCCATTTTGTATTGGCTTTCTTTGTACAATACAGACATCTGGTACTATGTTGAGTCACCGTGTGATGTCGGACCTTCTCATACAGGACTATATATGGACCCACTTTATATTAAGTGTCATTAACTGCAAACATTTAAATTAATAATTTGATACAATGGGCTTATTGTGTGCATACAGTACGGTTGAATTTATATGTAAAAATACCTGCATGTAATTATATTTTTAATTAATTTCTGTAATTACCTAACCTGACCCATATCCCACCTCAAAAGCATCAAAAGTGTTTTGCAATACAACATGAACACAATAACTAGACTGTACCAACAAACATTTTTTTTTAAACTTAAGTACATGGTAGTTAAAGACACTGAATATAAAGTGGGACCAGATGAACATTTTATTTGATCAAATAACAATGATCTTTTTATTATAATCAGTATTGCATATCAATCTCTCACCCACACACACCGCCTCGCAACAACAAAACACCAGCACCACTGCAGTTTAGTTTTTATTAATTAACCAATTTGTTATTTTTTCTTGCATCAAAAGTGTTTTGCAATACAACATGAACACAATAACTAGACTGTACCAACAAACATTTTTTTTAAAACTTAAGTACATAAAGTGGGACCAGATGAACATTTTATTTGATCAAATAACAATGATCTTTTTATTATAATCAGTATTGCACATCAATCTCTCACCCACACACACCGCCTCGCAACAACAAAACACCAGCACCACTGCAGTTTAGTTTTTATTAATTAACCAATTTGTTATTTTTTCTTCAACCTCAAGTCATGTAAATACATATAAAATAGCTTTCCTACACGCATCTAGATCAGCACCAGCTAATGAAGCCCTCAGGGTTTCATTTAAAATCGAAAAATATTTAACTAATATCACACAACGTTTACCTCCCATAAGTGGTATTGTTGATGTCAAAGGTTGTGCACCTTCATTATTTATTTTAGTGCAAATTTATAATTGTGTAATGTAACACGGCTACTACCAATACAACATTTAGTATGTTAATCAATTTTATTTCTTTTAGAAACAGGCCCCTCACCCTCACACACTCCTGCACAAACCCCACTATCACCAGGTGCTTCTTGAAATGTGTTGTTTATTCATTAATTGAACTTTGCAGAACATCTTTAGTCTGGTCAGTCATGTTTAACTCTTTTATTGTCAACTAGCAACTCAACCAGACACCACCTCGCCACCAAACACCACAATCACACCTCTCACCTCCACGCAACCCAACTCAACCTTACACACATTCACCAGCATCACGGGTAACACCACAACGCTTGTGCTCTCTGATATAATTATTCATGTTTATTGGACAAAATTGCTTGATTTATGATGATTAACATTTAAATATGTGCTTTTCTCAGGTACCACAGAAATCCCATGTGAGTATTTGCTTATATATTGTGCCTGTTGTGTGAAGTCAACTTTAATTGTGTTGTTCAAGACACAGTTTGCTGCTTATGAATTTGTGAATGTTCATACACACTTACACACAGGTCAGTACAGCCTAATGAAGAGTGTGAACAAAACCGAAGCCCATGTGGTGAATATCAACGGCTCTAAGGACCAATTGTACACAATCAGGATAAAGGATAAGCACAAAGAGATCCATGCTGAGCAAATATCTAACCGAACTGCCTTTAAAATTCCGTTTGAATGGTTAAAACCATGCACTGTGTACACCGTCAGTGTGGATGACTGTAAACCCAGTGGAAGCAACTATTTTACTTCCAGTGGTAAGTGTTTTAACCGGGAAGAAGATTTCTGCATGAATTAGATCTAAAAAAAAAAGATCCCATCTATCTACTAAAATAGATGGGACATATTTTATTTTTTGAGTGACCTCAAAAAGTATTTAGATAATTATAATTTTAATATGTATTTATATTTGTCTCTTAATTTTTGTATAGAAAATGGAGAAACTGTTCCAAATACTGTTGTGACAAGCGTGACAGATAATAAAGTGTGTTTGAAAGGAATATTTAATGATACTCGGAAATGGGATCTGACTGAATGTGTTGAAATAACGGAGCACAACTCTTGCGCATCCACACACACCGTTGAACTGGACACATGTAACTACACAATGAATGTTGCTCTGCCTCCAGGTTGGTATTTAATAAACTAAACAGATGTATCGTTATTCAATTTAGTTTTCAATGTGAAAAACATGCACAATTTTTACTGCTGTTTAAACACAAATGTCTGTAGAAAAATGTTGAATGTTTGAGCAATCCCCCTCTCTTTCATGCTGCTGAATTGACTGTTTTTCAGTTCATGAGTGTGAATTTGAATTGGTCACAACACACAGGAGGCCCAATTGCAAAATGGCTGTATTAAATATAATGATATACATGACACATTTCTGTAGATGGCATTTCAAACACTGATTATTAATATCTGTTTAATATTGGTTTCTTTGTGTACAAGTACACAGCATATTTTGTGTATCATAACAAAATTAAAAAAAACTTAAAACAGTTTTACATTGTTTTACATGTTATAATTTTAGGTAGAATCAAGGCATTGATTAAACTAAAGATTTTGGTGTTCTGTTTGCTTGTTTGCATTTTAACAATTATATTTGTTATTTAATATATGATACTTGTTATTTACTATGTTATCTAATACTTTGACATTCAGACGTATTCAAGTGTGACTGAGGAATCCAAATAGAACCACTGTAAACTGTGTGTGTGTGTTATAGAGAGCCTTTTGTACACTCATTGTGAAGATTTGTTTTGCATTGTTTGTGATTTCTATTTTTCTTTCTTACAGATTGGCAAAAGAATGGGCGATTTCAGCACAGATCCAGCACCTCATTGGAAATCTTCTGGAATTCACTCGAGGGACATCAATGCTCAGGGTTTAAATGGGACAGGTATTCAGCCAACTGCACTGGTGGAAGCAATCATCGTAAGAGCTCACACTTTCCTGTTGTTTTATCAATACAGCATCATTGAAATTTATCATCTGCACATTATCTGTAAAAATACTCCAGGGTCTTTTATGATATTAGTAGAGGTAGTAGATGTTCAATGTCTTATTCAGGTATGGTTTGTCTTTTCAGGGGTGAGCTGTACAACACACAGTGGCACTAGAGCAGTCTGCAGGATTACAGGATTATTGCCATATAAAAATTATACCTGCAGTATTATTGGAACAAGCAACCAAAAAGAGTACATAATTTACACTGGTAACAGTACAACACTTTCTGCCGGTAAGTTTTTTTTTTCTTTTTTCCTTCAGAACTCTTCCCTCTGTCATTCTTCATTTTGCAGTTATTTTCTGGATATTAAGATTTACCCCCATGCATTTTCTATCTATAATGTGTATTGTTAGTAATTTAATAAAATAACAGTTAATTGCTGAATGGAATTTTCATAAATGTTGCAATTAAATTGTATGTAAATAACATGCCATTATTTGTCTAAAATATGTTTTGTTTCATTCTGTTTGATAGAGCCCATTTTCCAATCAAACATTGAAGTATCTCACCCTTCTCACAATTCTCTTGGAATAAAATGTGAAAACAAGGGATCAAATATAATCTGGAATGGAGGAAATGGGACATTCATAGCTGAAATCACATACAATGGAAAAACTATCACTGCAGGTCCACAGAACAAATGCTTGTTTAATTTTTCAGATCTTTACTACCTTGCAACATATGATGTTAAGGTATTTGAATCCCACCTAATGTCTTTCAGCATCTGTTCATTCATTAAAGCCAAAGAGTCACATGGGTTGGAATTGCAGTGTTTCACAGTTCACATTTATTCATTTCAGATTACAGCCGAGAATAAAGAAAGACATTCAGCTGTCATTACTTCTGAAGCTACTACTAAATGTAAGCGCAACCTTTTCTCATTCCGGCCTCCCTAGAGGAGCTATTTCCCATTTCTATTAAGTTCTGTGATTTATGTGTTATATGTATCATCTTTCTCAAGTTGCTTTTATAGCTGCGCTCACTTATTTTTTGGTACAATACAGTGACACTAAAAAGTCCTTAGACTCTTAAGGCACACTTAAAAATATATGAATATAATATTAAACTAAATTGATTTTATAATTATGTTCATTGTTATTCAACATCTTTGGTTTCATTATAATTGCTTATGGTTTCTATTGTGATTTTAGGGGGGGGGGGGGGGGTTCATTTAAATGATTAAATTATTTCCAAAATTTTATATTTTTAAGCGTATCTATTGCAGTGACAATTTATTATAGATATTTTATTGAACCTGTCTGATTGTGTTGTTCAGGACATATAGTTAGTTTCTTATGAATTTGTGAATGTTCATATGCACAGGTCAGTACAAACTTACAAAGAATGGAGACGAAACAACAGACCAAGAGGTGAATATGAATGGCTGCAATGTTATGAACAAATACTGTGTAAATGTTTAAACCAGTATACCATCAGTAAAGATGACAGCATACCCAAAGGAAGCACAACTTTTACATCTAGCTGTGAGTGTTTTACCTCAGCAAAACGTTTTTGCAAGAAATAGAGGTCATTAACAATTCGCTTTGAAAAACCTGAACTCGGACAATTAAATAAATAAATAAATAGCAGTCAAAAGTTTTTGAACAGTAAGCTTTTTAATGTTTTTGAAATAATTCTCTTCTGCTCACCAAGCCTGCATTTATTTGATCCAAAGTACAGCGAAAACAGTAACATTTTGAAATATGTTTACTATTTAAAATATCTGTTTTCTATTTGAATTCTATCTGAATTTTTAGCATCATTACTCAAGTCACATGATCCTTCAGAAATCATTCTAATATTCTGATTTGCTGCTCAAAAACCTTATTATTATTATTATTATTATTATCATGTTGAATTTTTTTTCAGGTTTCTTTGATGAATAGAAAGTTTAGAAGAACAGCATTTATCTGAAATAGAAATATTTTGTAATGTCTTTATCACAATTAAAGCATCCTTGCTAAATAAAAGTATTGATTTCTATAATCCCCCCCCCC